GGAGCATAAGCCTAGACCATGTGCTTGAGTGTCAGGGATGGGACTCAAATCTAAACCTCTCTCAAAGTTTAAGATTCTACTTGCTAAACCACAGCAGACATAGCTAAGGGGCTTACAGCAGGGTACTTGTTACTAGGTGAATGCAACGAGGAAGCCAGGAAATATGACTTGGATCTGCTGCTGTACATTACCCTTCAACTATAATAAAAACCAAAGTACAGGAGAAACTCAGCAGGTCTGGCAACACTGAAGAGAGAAACAAATGATGTTTTGAGTCTCATAACTTCTTCTAAACCAGAAAACTTTGCCACTGGCCAGTTTTGGCCCATTGCTATCTCAAAGCTATACGCTTTTAACTTCTGACCTGCAATAATGTTTGTATTATGAAGCAAATTTAGAGAGGGTAGAAATTCAACAAGATACTCTTGGGCATGTAGCTATACTACATTCTACATTCTGTCCATAACTTGTCCTGTTGATGTGGCTGCAATACTGTTGTTAATTCACTTCACTTAAATTGTATAAATACATTATCAATGCCAGTCAGTCACCAATGATGTTGAACAGGAGAGTGCGTTACCAGTGTGGGATTCAGCTTAACAGTTTAGAAGCCTCAGTATTTCTGCTTACATTGAGTTGTTGGGAAATTCTAGGCAAAAACAGTGTCAACCTCTGGCAGGAGGGTGTAATTAGTGTGGCAAGATTACGGAGTCAGGTTCTATTGTAAACATGTAGGTATACATATCATCATGTATAACATTTACAAAAGTGTGCAAAGGTATTTATGAACCACTCAATACAATAGTTACTTTTTTTTAAATATCCAGTTATGAGCCAACATTTATCTTAAATGAAGGTTGTTGCACGTAGATTTTAACTTACTTTAGAAATCTTTTCTCTTTGGCCCACTTTACGGAGTTGAGGATTGATTAATGGGAAGGATATCTTGTTTTTCTAATGCTAATTTGTATTGATTAACTGTTAAAGTGTGAGCAAATTTCTATTAAACTTGTCAAATTTTCTAACCAATTACTAACATGGTGCTTTGATTTTTTTTAAACTCTGCTGACCTTGATATAAGTAATGCTTATACCAGAAGGAAATGTCGAGGTGTTAAGAATTCAACAGGATAGCTGTGGGCATGTGGCCACCAGGTAGGCTGGAGTATTTGTGAAAACAGTATAGAATATTCAGCAAAGCTAGACTGTCTGAAAGCCTTGAGGCAGTGTGTACATGTATGGCAACTTTTCATGGTACTGCAAAGCCAGATTTCACTGGATTCTGCAATTTTTTTTTTGCCAAATGGCTTTTTTATAAGACTACAAGGACAAGTTATGTATATCTATGTGCTTGCATACATATTTAGTTTGCAACATGCCCCTACCTAGAACTGCATCTGTGTTGACTGCAAAGTCCTGCTACTGTTTGAGGAGAAAACCAAACAATTTAGTTTGGAGGCTTTGAGCTGAACTGGTGAATTAGCTAACAATTTAAGACCGGCATTTGCAAAGTACAAAGTTGCAACTTTGGTGAAACTGTTTGGAGTGTGATGGCTGTCTCCTGAGTCTACCAAATACTGAGCTTCCAACAGGAACACAGTGATACTGGTGCAGATTGTCAGAGATACTGACATGAGGGGTCTGGGGATTTCTCTGAGCTATTTTCCTGGGATCCAAACATAAAGATTAGATTCCCTTGAGGAAAAAGTAATGGCCGTAAAAGTACACTTTATTCCCATTACCAGGATTGGTCATCTTGCATATTTGATGATCAACCTAGTAAGAATTTTACTTAAATCTAAGACATGAAAAATTGTGATTTTTTTTTCAACGAGATAGAATCATGGCATAGTATCTGCAGGGGGTGGTCATTGCCCCATCATCTATGACAATTCCTTTGAACAAACTAAACTAATCCCACCCTCTTGTTTCCACATACACATTCACTTGTTTAATTTTGTTCCAGATACGAATGGTAGCCCATTGCTGTCACAGTCTGTCGTGTCCTACCCCAGAGCACATTGCCAGGAAATTGTGAATAATGCTGATTTGTGGCTTGAACTGCCTGGTGCCTGTCTTTGCAGTGATGATTCTGTGTCATGGGCTTGCAAATTTGCACTAAACTTTGATCTGCAAGTCTTCAATATGCCAAATGAGAGATAAGGCTCCTTTTAGCTATCTCTTTATCCACAGGTGGCCAGGGCTATCAGTCTGCTCCAGGCACTTTCCAAATGTAATAGCTATCTGCTGCAACATTGGAAGGTAACTGGACTGAAAAATGAGGGATAAGCCTATTGATCTGAAAGGGAATTTAACAGCTCAAAAGCTTTGGGAGTCGGATGATTGTCTTATTAGCCTTCTTTCTGAATTTCACTCATTAAAACACTTAAGATGATTGAAAGAACTAGAGGAGGTGAACACTTCTATGGTTCCATTATATGAAAAGCTTCACTATCATACAATACAGGAGTACTTTAATTGAGTTGAGCAGATCAGGTACTATTATGTGAGGGAAAATAGCCTCCTCAGTTTGTGAAGTGTGCTGTTTTTCTCACTAAACACCTAAATTATCCAGAAATTACAATTCTAGCCTTTTTGACATCACGAGTAGCATGCAGTATA